AGTTCTTTTCAGTTAGGTAAAGACATATTTAATCAAAAAATAAAAAAGGCCAGAATTATTCTACCCTAAGTTTCTTGGGTATTTAATAACATTTACAATAATAATTCATGATTACATAGGCTTCATCAAAATGCTTTCTTTAATGTTATTGCATTAATATGAATTACCTACAAGATAAAATTCTACTTTTTATTCAATGTTCAACTTGAATATACCTTCTCTTATGAAGGCTTTTCTTTTCCCTGGGAAAAATAATTGCTTTTTTACTCTGTGTTCACATGACATTTTGCACACATTCTTACTATAGGACTTACATCATAATTGACTGTTACATGTCTAGTTTCACATGAAGCTCATTTCCCAGGACATAAACCTTGTTTCATTCATACACATGACCCCACCTGCTCAAAATAAAGACTTGTATAAAGCAGATGGTAGGGTATAATATAAAATTAAATAAGTGAGTAGATAGTATGAGAGGTCACTGCAACTATTGTAACAAAAAAATAAATTATTTAATTTCTATAATTTAATATACATATATGTTTAAAATTTTTCATTTATTGATTTGAGAAAGAAAGAGAAACATCAATTTATTGTTCCACTTAGTTATACATTCATTGGTTGATTCATATGTGCCTTGACTAGAGATCAAACCCACAACCTTGCCATATTGGGACAATGCTCTAAACAAATGAGCTATCTGGCCAAGGCTATAATTTAATATTTTCTATTTTTAATGATTAAATTTAGTGCAGTCTGGCATTCTGAAGAATTATACTGTTTGACTTTTTAAAAGAAATAAGTAGCATTAGATTATATGTATTTGGCCCATGAATTGTTAAACTACTATCAAGTTACAGATTATGGCAGAAGAGATCCCTGTTTATGCATCATAAAAAATAAAGTGTAAAATTTAAATGCTGAATTAAAATGTGCATTTTTCTCAAAAAGAAAATATGACAAACTAATTAACAGCTTCAGAAATCAGTTTCTCTAAGAAATACACCAATTTTTCTTTATAGCCATAAAAACATATGCTAATAAAAATAAAAACTCACATATAAACATGTTTTTATTCATAAATAAAATGAATATATGAAAAGTAGCTATCTCATTAAAGTATTTTAAACATATCTTAACAAACTCTATCTTCAATATAAAAAACAACACCATTTCTTCTAGAAAATAATAGTTTCTCTTTTTAACTAAAATTCTGTAAAAAAAAAAATCTACCCATGAAAATAAAATACCTACTTAAAGGCAATGCATTTATTCCTGTGAGTAATTCTACTGATTCTGGAGATTCTCTACCTGTGGGTTTTCTTTTTTAACAACTATTGCTACCATGGCAACAACCAACAACACATTGTGTATGGTACCCTTGTTCTGAGCCTGACATGGCACAAAATCAGTGTCAAATGAGATCTCATTTTCCATTCACGTATAAGACCAAAAGGATGCAGAAACAACAGATGGCATTTAACACTAAGTATAAATTAGTATGAGAGATGTATATTCTAAAAGATCTTAAACATAAGATTTGCAATATAGCCCTGGCCGGTTCGGCTCAGCGGTTGGAGCATTGGCCTGTGGTCCAGAGAGACCCAGGTTCGGTTCCCGCTAAGGGCATGTACCTCGGTTGCAGTTTGTCCCCGGCCCTGGTTGGTTGTGCGAGTGGCAGCCACTCGATGTGTCCCTTTCACATCGATGTTTCTCTCTCTCTCTCTTCCTCTCTCTCCCTCCCACTCTACCTGAACAAAAAAAATGGAAAAATGTCCTTGGGTGAGGATTAAAAAAAAAAAAAAAGATTTACAATTAATCTGGATAATCAGACACTTGGTTGATGCTAGATGAGAACAATCTGAGTTGTGACTTGGCTCAACTCATCTGAATGTTAGAGTGACTTTTATATATATGAGGACAACAGTAGATTAATTCTTTAGAAGGACAATTGCATTAATATTCTTCTATTTATAGTAAAAGATGATATATTTTTATGCTTTACTAAGTCAAAGTGCCCTTATCAATGGTGGTGATCATTTGGCAGTGGGCAGCCAATATACCCACAATAAAAGATAGCTATGGAATAAAATATAATTTTGAGTTCCATTACTATAACATATTAGATCTTTTTAAAGAGGGTTTTTAATTTTATTTATTTTTATTTTATTTTTTTGTTTGTTTGTTTTTATCCTCGCCAGAAGACATTTTTCCATTTTTTTTGTTCAGATAGAGCGGGAGAGAGAGAGAGAAAGAGAGAGAGAAACATCGATGTGAAGGGACACATCGAGTGGCTGCCACCCGCACGACCAACCAGGGCCGGGGACAAACTGCAACCGAAGTACGTGCCCTTAGCGGGAACCGAACCCGGGTCTCTCCGGACCACAGGCCGACGCTCTAACCGCTGAGCCAAACTGGCCAGGGCTTTAATTTTATTTTAATGTTTTAAAATAGGATAGAATTTCTTCTTCAAGAAACGTATGAGTGAAGCCTCAATGAATGTGAAAATGGAGTAGCAGGAAAAATTTGGGGAAGTTCCACAAAATATGGACAAGAAAAGAAACTGTTGCACTGCAAAGCCAGGACTTCTGCCTCTGAAGGTCAGTTTGAGAAAGAGGCTAGTTTTCTTTGAGCCCTTCCTCATCAGCTGTGGTCTCAGTCAAGAAGCAGAATAGACTGACTATCAAGTCAACCCCAGTTCTCAAGCACAGTGATGCTCTAAGGGGACCTTGCTTATTCAAGACAAAAAGGCACAACAGGAAGCACACACTATGAAGGAGGATAAAGATATGAAGAGAGACACAGAATGAGTGGGAGAGAAGGCGTGTGTCCCAAGAGAGGTTGGAAGGGCTTTTCCAAGCATGCAACCATGAGGTAAGTGCACAGTGAGAGAGCATTAGAACCAGGGACTGAAAGCCCTAGATTCTCATAATGGCTTCTCTATGAACCAACTGCATTGATTTAGATGAATTTGGGTGAGTCCCTTCTTTGTTTTAATTCTCTCAATAGAACAAGTATTTATTAAGAAGCTTTTCTACTCAGGGCATCAGGCTCTGGGCCAGAGAATAATGTTTCTGGAAGAATGGGACAGAAACTAAGTGCCTAAGGATCTGCTGGTCCCATCTCAGAACTAGTGAATGAGAATACCTTCAGGTGGGTAATTCCTGGGTAATTTTTAAGCTCATTAAAGTTCAAAACCAGTTTTCAGCTAGAGAATAAAATGATGAATAAGTGAGATACAGTTTGTACCTTCAAAAATAGTCTCATTTAACTTCCTTCTCTTTAAAAAGGCGTTTGTACTAAATGATTTCCAAAAGATTTCTGGTATTCATTTAAGTTTAAATTTTTCTAACAGGATTAACATTTTACAATGTACTCGCACGTAATAAGTATCATTTTAATTATGTAACCTGGTTCTACTAATCCAGCCATTTTCAATGTGCTTTGAATTAGCCACATAATTTCTTAGTTTTATAGTCTTACTTGGAAACAAGTGAGAAAGTGAAAAACAATTGGGAATTTTACCCTTTCTAATGATTTTCATCAACACCCAAGAGGGCATAGGATCAGGAGTCAGTGAACTAGGTTCTGCTTTGAACTAGTTGCATGATCTTGGGCACACAAATCCACTGCTCTAGGCCTTAGTTTCCTCTTTCTCTAACCAGGGATTCCACAAACTTTCCATGGCTCTATTACTCTTTTGTTTGTTGTTGTTAATTCACACTCGAGGATATTTTTTTCATTGATTTTTAGAGAGAGTGGAAGGGAGGGAGGGATGAGTAAGAGAGAGAAAGATATATTGGTTGCCTCCCACACACACCCCAGTTGGGGCTGGAATCAAACCTACAAACTAAGAATTGAGCCCATGACCCTTTGGTACCTGGGCTGGTGCTGTAACCACTGAACCACACCAGCCAGGGCATGGTTCTATTACTCTGTGCAAAGTATTTGTGAAATACCTCTTCTGTGTGAGCTCATACCAGGGACTATGGAAAACAAAATTCAAGTATCTAAACGTTGGTCTTAGGAAACAAACTTGAAATCCATTCATATGAGTCCCATTGATTTTACTAGTGAATCATCTCTTGCACTCATTTATTCCTCTTTATTCCTGTCACAGATGCCCTAGTTCTCACCTTTTGAGTTACTCACTTAGACCAATGCAATAGCTTCCTAACTTCTCTGTTTTCAGACTAGTCTCACTCCCCTCCACCACACTGCTACTAGGGACATCTTTCTGAGACACAGATACAATGTTATAAATCACTTTAAATCCTTCAGTAGTTCTCCTGAGCTTAAAGCCCAAATCTGAACACTTAGGAAAAGACCATGTGGAGACTCGACCATCCACTGTCAGTGTACCCATTAAGTCTCATTTCTGACCGCTTCTCTGCTAGGTTCTTGTGTCTACCAACCAACCCCTTACACTTGGTTCATACTTCCCCCAAATGTTTTATATGCTTTCACATTTCCCATGTTCTACTTTATATTCGAATTTCCTTTCATCTCCTTGTCTCCCTAACAAATTTTACAACATTTTATAAATGTCTCTATTATACTATTCATAGCTATTATTTTTTTTTACATTTTTATATATTTCTTCCCTAGTCAATTTTAAGCAAAACATAGCTGGGACTGTGTTTCACTTATCTGTGTACCTTCAGGGCCTACAATAGAGCCTTACATATGATGTTCAGGAAGATGTGCAAATATAAATTCAAGTGAGTAGAAATATCTCCAAATAAAAATTTTAAAAAGAAACAAAACAACTGGTATACCAGAATATCCTGTCAATATATTTTATTTAAATTAAAATAAATTTTCCTTTTAATATCGATCATAGAAATCTTATATAGAATAGTTTGGGAGTACTCTTTGGGAGTGCACACTAAATGAACATCAAAAAGGACATGAGCGGATTGCTCACATTTTAAACAGTGGGCACATTGGAAAGTCTAATCATCAGAGACAAAGCTCACAAGTGTGGCAGCTCCTACCTGTGAGATCTTCATTGGGCCACCACCCCAAGTCACAAGCTTTGCAGGTGAACTCATCTTGCACGTATTCATTCTCTTTACAGGCAGTGCAGATCCAGCAGCAACTCACTTCTCCTTTCCGTATGACCTGTGACACAGAAACATTTCACATGCCTCAACCTGGTTTATCCAGAAAATCTTCTGCTTCAGAGGACTTGTTTTCACACTGCAATAAAAAGTACTTTTCAAAAAAGTCTATATGCCGAAGACAATTAAGTACATGGATTGAAATATACCTGGTTACCTTAGAGTTCAGGTGTGAATTTCAATTTATTTCATGCTGGATTTGCAGATTTTTCAATAATAATTTCTTTAATAAAGAGAATTGACTACATTATCTCTTACAGAGTTAAAAATGAAACTGTTGAATTTTATCCTAATTTATATTAATATGTATTAATTATTCTCGGAAAGTAAAAACACATTTTTCTCCTCTGAAAGAACAAATAATATTTAAACAAAAAAATTTCTATATAATGAAACTTCATTAATTCATAAAAACTGAGGGATTATGAAATTTGTGTTATAATTATGAAAGTCTGAACAACTTTATATACATAAAAACAGAATGATGCTAAAAAAGTATAGCTCTGTTACTGGCTTTGTTACTTGCTTTAGTGAATTCAAATGATCACGTAAATTGTTGGAAGAAAAATTACTAGTTCAAAATTACTAAAGAATTGCTTATTATCTGAGCAGTTTAAACTTTCTCTCATTTTCAAATTGTTTGGTAAGCACTTTTCATTTACACAATACAAAAATAAACATCAAAACACACTGCATTTAAAGTAAGTTCCTTGTAAACAGCACATAATTAGATCTTGCTTTCATCTCTAGTCTGACAATTTCTGCCTTTCTATTGATGTGTTTAGTACATTTACGTTTATTATAATCATTGGTGTGGTTGGGTATAATCAATCATTTCTTTATTTCTATCGTGTCCCATCTGTCTTTTGTTTACTTTGCCTTTTCTTTGCCTTCTTTTGAATTGAGAATTTTTTAGCATTTCATTTCATCCCTAAAATTGGCATACTTGCTAAACCTCTGTGTTGTTTTCTTGGTTGTTATAGGATTCAAAACATGCAGCATTAACTTATCACAGTCTACATTTCAGATAGTATTATACAATGTCATGTACCTTGTAAGACCCCTACAACAGTATTCTTCCATTTCCCCCTCCTATTGGGTATTGTTTTAGTACATTTTATTTACACATATTTTATAGCACCCAATGAAAATTACTTATGCTTTAGCCCTGGCCGGTTTGGCTCAGCAGTTAGAGTGTCGGCCAGTGGACCAGAGAGAGCCGGGTTTGGTTCCCGCTAAGGGCACATACCTTGGTTACAGTTTGTCCCCGGCCTCGGTTGGGGTTGTGTGAGTGGCAACCACTCAATGTGTCTCTCTCACATCGATGTTTCTCTCTCTCTCTCTTCCTCTCTCTCTCCCTCCCATTCTATCTGAAGATGAATGCAAAAATGTCCTCAGGTGAGGATAAAAAAACAATTATTTTTGCTTTAAACAATCATCTTTGAAATACACTTCTGAAAGAAGAAAATTATAATATTTTATATTTACTCACACACTCATAATTTCTGGTGCTTTTAATTCCTTTGTATAGACCCAAATTTCTATCCACTGTAATTTTCTTTATCCTGAAGAACATTTTTTAACATTTACTATAGTGTTGATGTGAGAATTATGACTTCTTTCAACCTTTATAGATTTGAAAAGTCTTTATTTTGGCTTAATTTTTGAAAAAAGGTATTTTCACTTGGTAGGAAAATTTAAGTTGACAGTTTTTTTTTTTCTTTTTCTGTCTTTTAGCAATTTGTGCCATTCCATTGTCTCCAATTGGAGATAGAATTCTGGGTTGAAAGACATTCTTTCTTTTAACATTTGAAAGATGTTATGCCTTCCTTGCCTTGTATATAGTTTCCAATGAGAAGTCTACAGGAATTCTGATTTTGTTTTTCTGTCTGTAACAGAACTTTTCACTGTGGCTGATATATATATATTTATATATATAAAATCACTAGTTTTGAGCAATTATGTCTTCTTTGTGTTTAACTTCTTTGAGATTTGTTTTATGAATTTGGGTTTACATTTTCATTTCATTTGAATACTTTTCAAACCATTATTTTTTTAAAAAACTTTTTCCTAGCCTGTCTCTTGGGTCTCTAATTGTGCTTGTAATATTTCTACTGATTGTATTCTGCAAGTCACTGAGAGTCTGTTCATTTATTTACTTTGTTTTCCCTCTGTGTACCTCATTTGCCTATTTTATAGTGCTATGTTTTTTTAATTTATTGAGTTTTACTTTTATAATGTCTAATATCTGTTAATCCCATTCATTGAAATATTGTTTCTTATATATTTTATTTTTCATTGTATAGGTTCCATTTTGTAATTTTTTATATTTTTATTGGCCTTCTCATGATATTCATGTTTTGTTGTAAATCCTTTAGTATGTATTTAAAGTAGATATTTTAATATCTTTGACTGCTAATTCCATCATCAAAGCAATTTTGGGGACTGTTCCTATTGCTTGATTTTCCTTCTGTTAACATTTCACCTTTTCTCACTTTGTCACATGTCCAAAATTTTTTACCAGATGCTGAACATAGTGTACCTAAGTGTAGAGTGCTGACATTGTTTTCTTGAAGAAGTATTGCCCTTTCCTCTGACAGGAGCTAAGTTACTTGTGGCTCGGTTTGGGTTTTGTTTTTAACCTTCTAGGGCAAGTTTAAAGTCATCTCTATTCTATGGAGTTTAGTTTCATTACTAAAGTGTGACCCCTCTGGGTCTCTATTTAACTTCTTATGCATTCAACAAAGTATCTCCACTCTGGCTTGTGAAGACTTAGGCAATTCCTGGCTCCACGTGAGCTCTAGGAATCCAGCTCTGTAGGAATTATTCTTTACCTGGACGTTTTGAATTCTATCCTACGCATGCGCAAATCGACATTCAGTCGACTACCCAAGGATTTGGGATTCTTTGTCCGCATAGATCCTTCCTCTCCCTTACTCTGCACTACAAATTCTAGCTGCCTTGGCCTTCCTAAACTCTGATTTCTGTCTTCTTAAATTAGCAAGATGGCCAGGCTCCGTTTCTGTCCTCTCTCATTGAACGACAACCAGGAAATTGCCTCTAGGCAGAAAGCTTGAGTGATTTTAGGGTTCACCTTGTTTGTTTCCTTTCACTTCCCGGCAGTCAAGGTCATGTGCTGTTGTTCTTCAACGTCTGAACACGGTCATTTCATACATCCTGCCAAGTTTGCTAGTAGATTACAGCACAAGGTAAAGTCTAGATGGACTTTTGACTCCTGCCTAGAAGCAGAAGTCTCGCCTAACACATTAAACATTATCAAATGTTTTCATATGTGAAGTCAAAAATTAAACTGTAAACATTGCCATTCTTTAAAGTCATACAAACTCTAGCCTGTGTAAAAATAAAATGATCTTTTCTCAGATCAGGTTGAAATTTATACCACTATTTTAGAATTACATAAAAAATATCAAATGACAGTATATTTTCAGAAAATGTAAAAAGTTTTATTTTCTTCTTTTACTTTCAAATAACTTTAGAAAAATAGAATCAAATTAAGTCTTTGAAAAATTCATACTTACACTCAGAATAAGTATGGGAAATTTACAAATGATAAATTTTTCTCAGTGATATGAGAAAAATGAATAAATGAATATTTTTATCTTAATTAGTATAAAAAGTACAGTAAGAGACATCATAAAATACTGTATATCTCTTCAATCAGCGCTCTTTTCCTCACACTATAAAATTAATGCTACTAATTAAATCTAAAAGGTGATAATACTTACTAAATGTATCTACACAGGATGACTGGTAAAAGTAGATCCTGTGAATAGCTGGCATATGGAAAGCATTTAAAATTAAGGTTTAAATGACTGAATAAATGATTAGCCTATACCTTTAATAAATAATGAAAACTGAAACTTTTTAAGTGTTTTTTTTTTTTTATTATTCCTTTATTTAGCTACCAAGTATGTGTAATTTTGCCAAATAATGTCTATAATACAGATTTTGTATTTTCTATCTTACAGCCATGCTCTAGACAGAGATATTATAACTTTACGCCTGAATTCTGGTCTCTGTCTCCTAATCATGTAACAGGTGTCTAATTTCTTCTCATTCTAGAATAACACACACACTTTCCAAGATCATCTGAATGGCCTGTGGGCTCCTCAAGAAAAGGAGCCATGTCATACTTTCATTATTTTCAGATCCAAGTCATCAAAGTACAGACCTGAACCAAGAGTACACAGTAGGAAGCCAATGAATGTGTCAAATTGAATGTTTTTCAAAAATATAGTTTAAGCCACTTAAGGAATTTTAGTGCCTCCTTATTCCAATACTTTTGAATTATAAGTTCTTTGGTCAGATCTTCAGTTTGTCCTCCTTGGTCCTTGTTTCTGAACCTCACTTGGTCTGTTACTCATTTCTTATATGTCTACCCTATAAGGAAGGGCACTCTCTGTGCCAGCCCCTGCATATGTCCTCAGTAACGTCTACATAACTCTACTTGCTTTATTTGTTTTGGAGGGAGATTTCAAGTAGAGTAAATATATTATCCAATTTGTCTTTCATCTGACTTGCTTTTCACAAGGATTATTCTGGTTGCTGTGTGAAGAATGTGCTTTAAGCAGGGAAAGAGAGAGACAGAGGGAGAAAATTGAGTGTGTCTGTCTGTGTGTGAGTGTGTGTGTGTGTGTGTGTTTTAATCCCTGGTTCTAAAATAGAACCATATAGTAAACAAATAAATATATCTTAATAAAAGAATGAGTATTACCTTCATTTCAAATGTCGTCTTTCCTCAATCAGTTCATCTGTGTCACTACTTTCAAGAGCAGACACAACATCAAAACCTCCAGTATTTCTGGAGCAGTAAACTCTTTGAAACATCACCTTACTCAGAATTCTCTAATAGTTAAAATACAGTTCCTGTTTTGTTACCACAAATTAGTGTTTGTCCTCTAGTTCATATTGCTATGATAGATATGTTTCATTCAGATATTATTTTAATTCTTAAGTTATTGTGTCTAACTGATGTTTTAA